AAGTCAATGGAACACTTCCTTGAAATTAGACGTGTCATAAAAAAAAGGCCGAAGTATTTTCACAAAGCTTTTGTGTTTCACCTGGACCGCGTCTTTCCCCTATTTTTAACATCGACAGCAAATGTGAGTTATTAACCTCCCTAGCCACAACAAGCGTGATTGCTTTAGTTAAACTGTTTTTTTGGAAATCAGAAAATACTCGTGATATATGAGGATGGCTTTGAATCAAAACAACCGTAGTCTTTTTCAAAGATCAAAGATCAAAACATTCCTCAGTTAACTTCCGGCGGAGAGTTTCACTAGGCTTTAAATTTGATCATCGAACAAGATTGCCTGTACACTAGGGCAAATCCCTGAAAATCCGACTGTTTACGATGACCATTTGAAGAGTCTCCCATAATTTTTGAGTTCAAACTATTAATTACTTTTTTACAGGTAGTTGATATACTAATTTACTGAATCTATATATCAAAAATTATGTTTTATGGTTTAAAAGTAGGAGTAAAACCAGACTGCTCTTATATCAAGGCAGAAACTTGAAGGTTCTTGCTACTTTTTTACTGCTCTCATGTTAAATGTTAAGTTTTTGACACTCAAAATTTTAACTATTGATTTCTAGAATTTGAATCATTTACAAAACTAATGAAAATTTTTGAAATATTTAGTTAACTCGAGTTTCCAACGAATAAAGAAAGACACCAGAGGTAGGGTGCCAGAGAATGTTTTTTTCTGCACCTTAAGATGCAAAAGCATGTTTCTTTTTTTTTCTTCATATTGACTTGAGACGCTGAATTTTTTTAAATTTATTTAGTAAGTATATAAAATTCAGAACGATCATTTGTGTTGGCTTTAAAAAACAATTTTAACCCTCTAATCCAAAACATTTTAAGAAATATGTTTTTTTTTGCGCCAATAGACGAAAACGAAAAATGTAAGAAAAAACCTATATGCATTCTAGCACACAATATGACACAAATGCAGAAAACATTTCATTTCAGGTCTTAGACACATGTTCGGATGCATATATCATTATGAAAAATTTTATGTTTTGTTTAAAATACAAACAATTTCAGCCCCGTTGAACGCGATTATGCGTGGCATTAGAAAGCAATGCGCAAACTTGCACAACAAGTATAGATTCTAGAGCTGGCCATGTCAGAAGCTTAAATTCCCTTTCAGATGTGAGAAATACACGAATCGATACACGTCCTACTCATACTATTAAAACTGAACCTTTTCTTTTTCTTCAGTTTCCTCGAGCTTGCTCTATTAAAATACAATTTCACAGCAGTTTCTTTAAAAATTTAGATTCTTTCAAAAAAGTAGATTCTTCAAATGAACAGTCTTCTGCAAATGATTGCACAGTTCAAGGCTATACATGTTATGTTCATGAGATTGATCAAGAATTTGTTCACCTCTTCAAGATATTTCCTCGTGAATTAATCGCGTTGAAAGAGACGAAAGTTCCTTTTGCAAAATTCTAATAAGATCCGCCTTTGTAATATTGATGTTTTTTCTTGTGTACACACCTGATTGATTTGATCCAATTTAACTACTTCTGATAATTTAAATTGCAAATTATTATAATATTTAATATAAAACGCTCTTGGCAATGAGGGCAAGTGATATTTCCAAAATTAATTGATAAATCTTTCTCAATTGATTGCATGTTTGCTGGTTCAGAGGTATGCAACATACCAGTTCAAAATAATTGATAAAAAAAGGTACAGATTGCTGCGTGATACTTTGGATATTTCTACGAGATGAGCTAAGCAGCTCATTATTTTTCTGCTTCCCTTATGATCTTAATCTGATGCTGAACGTTTTCGTTAAAAACTATAACTTGAGTTAACTTTCCGACCTTAGTCGCACACTTTCTGTCTTAACAACTTGAGAACAGCAAAGAAACACGTCCTAGAGATTTGGGGTTTAAATTAAGTAGTCGGCTTATTCGTTTTTTAAAATTTATTTTCTTTGCGAACCTACCTAAATTTTGTGAAAGCTTTCTTTTCGTTTTGGTCACTGAAAGCGAGTTTTTTTAGTCTCTCATTTATGTCTTCTAGAGTGTTTTTGTTGTTTTATCCTTAAAAATTATCATCCACTTTAATTTTTATCCTTACTCAAATATTTTTCCGGCTAGATTTTTGGACTATTAAATTATAGTTGAACTATTTTTGTTTAGGGTTTGGACAATACGGAACAAATATAAGAATTTTTCCATTCAGTTGGTTTCCAGTTTCTTTTAGTTATTTTAATTTAATTTTTTCCACCAACCATTGACATATTACTTTATCGTTTTTTTTTCATAATTTTGGAAAACAGAGGATGGCACCGTCTCTTTTTTAGTACCAGCAGAAAAAAGATTTCACCGTATTTGGAAAAAAATATGATGACTACTCAAAGAAGTATGTTGGAATTGCCAATACGATGGAGCTGTCATTTTTGTGATATTAAATTTCACAAAATCTATAATATATATTTTAAGCGCTGAGTCAAATTAATTAACGGAACCGAACTAAATTTCAATTTGGTTTATGTTTCAATATATTTTCGAAAATCAAAATTTCATTTTTCGGTGGAGTGTTCGGGTTTTTTTCGGTAGCTCATGTCCTTACAAAAGAATTATGTACCTTAAGTAATGAATAGAGTTACAAATATTGGAAATTTATTGAAAGTAAAATACTACGTCAAGGAATCACATCCCGCTGACTTGAGTTTTTTTCTTCAATGATTGACACTTTTTCATTTTCAGTAGTGTGCAAATGAAACAGCTGCTCGAAGAGAAAACTGTTATACCATGTCAAAAAATGGGAAAAAACATATCAGATTTTAACACAGTTACTAACAGTAGATATATTTAACAACCTCATAATCATTTGTTTTACGGCAGCAAATTCTACTCAATTAGAAGCAGGTTACGTCTGCTTGAAATATGTCCACATTTTTTTTGGGGATAGGGCTGTACCTACAAATTCATCTAGTCTTGATCTAAACTCAGGAAAAGGAGCTGCCGAAAGCTGATTACCCAGTTTTGACTTCATTTTACGTTTCATATCATGATAATTTTTGGCTACAATTGAGTTCAAAAAAAGGACTTTTTTTGAACTCAATTGAGTTCAAAAAAAAAGAGTTCAAAAAAAGGACGTGTACAAGTTTGACATCGAAACTTTTTTGAGGGTATAAAAGATTGGAGAGCTCAGTTTTGGAGCCGAAATGGTTGTTAAGGCCGGAACTGGTTTTCACTTCGAAATTTAAAAAAGTCCGAGTTTTCCCACATCGAGAGTAGTTACTGAACCCGCTTTCTATGCGAAATAAAAGAAATTATTAGGACGCAAAAGATAAAAGTTATAAGGTAGAAATACAACATCGGTTGTTTTTAGTAGTTTTTCTTGAGAGTTTTGTTGGCGCCAACATCCCGTGCCTTGTTTTTCTCTGAACACTTTCGGTGTATAACAACGGTGGCAGCTTAAGAAAAAGCTTTTTTTGAGAGTTCTACTGATGCTTTCGAATAACTCCGTCTTTTGCAGAAACGTTTCCATGACTCGCGCCCTTTCGTAGTCACATCGCTTGACTGACTTCCCAATAAGACAAATTTAGATTTCTGTGTTCGTCCACATTCCATTTTGAACGCGTAATCCACTGCAATAGATATTAACTTGACCATTGTTGGCGTAGCATGTCTGCGTAAACTTATGTAATTCTTTCGGGTTTTCTCAGATATTAATCATTAGAATCATCCCTCACTACTTTAAGTGCCCTGTAAGTGCTCATCTGACACATAATAAATTGAAAAAAAACTCATCTTTTATAAATCGATATCCCAACACTGCCAGCCTTGCTTATTTGAACAATTAAGCAAGGTTGCAACTGGATGAATTTTTACTATACACGTCATCCAAAACCTGTAGGAGATGCTTGTCATCCAGTAGCAGTTGTGTTTGGCGTTCAAAATATTTGGCAGTTTCTGATCGTAGGGCAGATTTGAAAATCCGAATCTTCGTTTTAGCCTCATAACTCGCAATTATTTCAGAAAAAAGCTGAGCTTTATCAGGCAAGTTTTTTGGTGTATCGACTAATATATTTTGAGACCTTGATATTCTTCTGCTTTTGAGAGGCTTTTTATCTGCGGTAGTTTAATTCTAGGTTGTTTAAGTTCCGCTCATTCTTCTACTTGATGCAGATCGATCCGTTTCCTTCCAAAATAAGGACAAAATACCCCAGTGGTCACAAGTTTTGGAAAGACTCTGAAGCGTTGCCATAAAAAATAGTTTGAACTGGTTTTGTAGCGTTGAGCCGAGTGACCAGCTTGACCATTTCGTCGGGCTCTGGTACTTGGAGAACACTCGGTTGACGGAGCCAAGCTGTTTTTGGCCGGCTTAGCCGAGCAGGCCCTGTAATCCAATTGCTTCAGTTTTCAAAACCAAATTCATTTTTCCTCTGTTTCCAATGTCGGCTGTTTTTTCCACACAAGGCACTTAGTTCCAACTGTCAATTTTAAAAGTTCGAGAATCTCCGCTTTTTGCTCACTAAAACAATTTTTGCTTTAGTAGTAGTTTTTTGATTTTTACCGTTTTCATCAAAAGATTTTAAAAAAACAGGTAGAATACATGTTTGATCGATACTATTTAATTTTCTTAGAAAACAGTATGATTAAATATTTCCCCCAAGCATAATGATTCTTCAGTTTTCTTAGTAGTCGGTCTATTATATTAAAGTTTTTTGATGTTTCGATGGCGAAAAATGTTCTTTTTTGAAGGTCGATTCTGTGTTTTGTATGTCGTCATTGATCCCGCAAGTATTAAACTAAGAAAAGCTTTTTCAATTCGAAGTCTCAAACATATTTTGATAAATTCTGTCTCGATATGCTACGGCTTCGTCTCATTCCTCCTATCAATTTTAATTTTATTCTATACCATATCTTAAGACCCTCGCCGAGGCTTCATTGGTAAAAGTTTATTAAAATGATTTTTTTGACTAGAACGTTATTCAGATGACCAATTATGGAGGCAAGTTTGACTAGACTGATGTAAGATAATTGGTTTTTGCGGCAAATCAATTATCGCGGCAATAAATTTTATATCTCAAAAAAAATCGATTTAAAAAACTTCTTTTAATTTAAAAACTTGGTTTAACTTAAGAAATTGACAATAAATTAGACAGCAAAGTATCCAATTAACGTTTAAAATGATTCTACACAATTGAAAAAGTTCATTTGAAAAGGGTAAAAATGAATTTAATCCATTATAATGAATGATAATATTTTTTGTGCAATCAAAAAGGTGTTAAAAAAATGAAAACAATGGATGACAATTGAGAAAAAAAATAGTTTTTGTTGTTTTGGAAAATATTAACTTTATAAATAATTTTTTAATATACTGTAATTGATTATTTTTGAATTCGAAAGAGACAGGCAATGAAAATACAAAAAAATCGTTTTGAGCCATAAAACTGGCAGGTTTGATGATTTACAAGTAATTTCAATGTGCCGCAGGAAAGTTATTTTTTATTTGTGCAAGTTAAGTTCGCCACATTGTTGCAGGATTTAGCATATCAAGCTGTCAGATTTGCAGATGAATCTAGCGGTCACCTAATATTAGTCTTGAAAGCCGCAAATGGTGTAAACGCGATTCGAACATCATAAACAGAGACTTATAACCTTTACCGTTATCCCAGGTCATAGCTTTTGTTCGTCATTCTCATCTCACTTGCTTCAGAGATGTTTCTTGGATTCTATTTTTTGCCATAAGTTTTTCGTATGGTTGTCGCAATATGGACAGCAAATCTCTGATGCAACACCGGATTAGATGCGCGAGGGAGTTGCTTTCACACATACAGACTATGAACAGCATAGGGTGTATTTTACCATGCCGTAGATTCCAAGCAATAGTTTTTAATGTTCTGACCATTGAAAATGCTGAGGAACTTTATGTTCGGGTAATTTGGTTATTTCTTTTTTCGTTTTTTATTTTCCTAGCGAAATCAGGAATCAAAAAAAACTCATCGGAATGGATCGACTGACAATCATATTGAAGACCTTGCAGTTGTGAGTCGAACGAAATTCAAAATTTTCAAAAACTTGTCCCGGAGTCGAGAAAAATCGGTTTGAAATTTTCGAGATTGTCCGATTTTGAGCAAGTAGAGTGATCGAGTAACGTTCGTCATTATACAATAAGGCTAAAACTTAAATTAACGAATGAAACACTGGTGTTTGAAGCTTCATTACAGCTTCCTTGGCAATGTTTCCAACGATTTTTTTTATTCATTTGTTGTTTGTCATTCAGTTTTTGATAGCAAATGTTGTCGATTACCACTATTTCAGTAATATTTCCTGTGTTTGTATAACACCACGTATAAAAAACGACAGTACTTTGGAGGGAAAAAAAGTTTTTTGTAGTTTTTTTAGTGAACATGGTGAGAATTTTCTGTGCTTCTTGCACAGCAACTGGCTATCCTTGTTTTTTTTTTATTTTCAATCTCTATGAAAAATCATGTAGTTTCTTATTACTTGAAGAATAATCTGATTGAGATTATTGCGTTTTATATGTTATATCGGTAGAATACTTTCCTTAACCTAAAGTTGTGTTCTGCTTTTTTGCTAGCACCAAGACACTTTGCATCTTATTTTATCTGCAGTTTTGAAAATGAAAGATAAAAACGTAAGAAAATAAACTGTCAGGCTTATTTAAAAAAAAGTATTTGAAATTGCGCTCAGGGAATTCCTATTGCCGAAATAAATGGACCTAAATGTTTTAACCGGGAAACTCAAAAAGCAACTCTCTCGTCCCCAAGGGAGGCCCTAGCTCTTACAGGTTAGTTAAAAAACCACTATAATGCAATTTCCGTGTCTGAACTCTCATCGCACATTTAGAACAAAAAGCTACAATGTAATTGAAATTTTGTGACTTTAGGATTCTGTGACAATGTGATTTTAAGATTCCGTGACTTTAAGAATTTATTGTTCCGACTTTCGATACGAAAGTAACGGAATATTTGCGCTCGGGTGGGTTTTTTTTTCGCAGACAAATTCGACCTTTTAACTAGCCAATTTTGACGGAGTTTTTTTACATCAATCAAAAGATATTGTTGTCTTGAGCTTAAAAGATTTAAAAAGATATTTCACCAATGATTAATTTTTGTAAAATTATGGGTGTTTAAATATTGCCATTTTGGCCAATTTGGGACTATAAATGCGCGATATAATTTGCGCAAATAACGAGTAAGCGCAGATTTAATCCGTATGTTATTAGTTGCCATAACTGATTTGTTAATAGGAGCAAAATATATCACTTTGTTTTTTAGATGGCGTGGGGTAGGATGAATTTCATAAAAATATCAAATTAAAAAAAAATAATTTTTGCTTATTACCTTCAATAATTTTTGCTTATTATATTCATGTTATTATTGCTCCATAGACTTTAAGAGGCAGTCGGAACATTCAAGATCTTGCCCTGATACGAGCAGTCTTGTTTAGTTTTTCTTTTCACTCTGACTATGCGGCCTAAACGTATTATGCTTAAGCTAGCCTGATAGCCGTTCGTAGATTATCTGAGTCGCAGAAACATCAATTAATTCTACACAAGATTATGTAATACTCGCTCAGTAAATTTGTAACTCGTTTAAATAAAGAGGGAAACGCAGACGACAAAAAACGCAATAAAAATTAGTAAAGATACTAAATTAGAAGACTATTGCAACAAAATACAATGCCGAACAAGAGTGCTCGTATATCAGAGCAAAGTCCTGAATGTTCCGACTGCACTTAGGGCCAATTAAAAAGCTTTTTAGTTGTATAATTGACAAAATAGTTGAGAAAAATAGTTTTTTCGTTGTTTCTTCATTTTATCCCCCACACGCTATGAAAAAATCTAAATAGGTATTTATTGTCTCGTATTGAGATAATATGACTAAACTGCTGGCTTCAAGTCAAATTGGAACGAATTAAATCACTTCTTACGCGTGTTGTTATTAGTACGCAATATATCGGAATTTTTTTATAGAAAATTGGCCAAAACAGAAAGTTCCAAATGCCCGGTACTTGATGATCAAAAGTAAAATATCTTTTTAAATTTGAGCTCAAGATAGCAAAATCTCTCAGAAGAGATTTAAAAATTCCGTCGAAAATGCTTAGTAACAAGTCGGAAATTGACTGAATAAAAAAACCACATCAAGCATAATTCATCTCTTTATTTGAAATTTGGAACAAAAACTTGAGTCGTACAAAATCAAAAAGACCGATAACCTAGCCTCAATTCAATTTGGAACGATTTTATTGTGCGATATAAATTGCCACGCATAATTCGTTTGCGTTAAAATTTCAGCATTATGAATATAATCTTCAAAGTGCGCATAAATTAGTCCAGGGAATAGCCAAAATGGTAGTCTTTATCCTTCCAGTACTCTACAAAAATTAATTGGAGGTAAAACCATCTTTCTACAATTGAAATCAGGATGTCGATATCTTCAATGGGGCAGAAAACTTTTTTGTTGAAAATTTTCAAAATTTCGATCGGCAAAAACTTACTGATTGAAAACAAAAACCATATCAAGCTTACTTGTTCCGGTTTCTTTGAATTTCGGAAAAAAATTTAACTGAAAAAGCTGTAATTTGCTTATGCTTTCATACCGAACTTTTTAAATTTTTTCAAGAAAACATTTATAGATACTCTGATTTTAAACTTTCTGGTCCTGAAAAAGGAAATAATTTTTTAACTTCTGAAGCTAGTAACAAAACAGCTCCCAAATCATCTTCTCCGAATTAATTTTTCTCAGACCATTTAAAATATTATAAACCACTTTGAATTTTAAGAACAGTGAAAGATGGAAGAAGCATAGCTGGCTGCTGTACAAGTGACACAAAATGTTACGACCAAACTCATATGAATTTTTTGAAAGTTAGGCCTATATTAAGCTTTCAATAAATTCTAAAAACAAAGTTTTCTACTTGTTTTTATTTTATCTTATTCGCTCGTTTATCTTGCTCAAAATTCTACAAAAACTGGTGTTCAAAATATTTAAACTGAATTTTCTCAAGACTGGTATAGTTTTCGAAAATTCTGTTATCCTGTTCGAATCACAAACAAGATCACACCCATTTTGATGTTTATTGTGGTTTTTGATTTTACAAGGAAAGTTCCTTATTGAAAAAAAAAATAGTAAGAAAACTCCCGAACAGACAAAGTTCCGCCCAAAAAATAACAGCAGAACAATTCGTTCCAAGATTTAAGACACACGTTTTTTTATTTGTGATTTTGCTGTTCACAAAACTTGTCACAGCGAATTTTGTACCCATAAATTTTGTTCCGACCAATGAAGATGAGTAGGAACTTTTGTGTTTGGCTGTTTTATAACTACTTTTTTAAACATATTATATATAATATTGAAGTTCTTCCAGTCATTATTCAAACGAACGACACTAGAAAAAAGTCAAACCGAAAAAAAAGGAAAAAAAACTGAGAAAAACTGGTAAAAAGTTTTCAGTGTTAGTCAAAAAAAGTTTTCGCCTAATCGCTCGGGCTAGAAATTTTGAATTAAGTGTTGAAAAATTTGATCTAATTTAGTTGAACGTTGGTTTTGGAAGCTTCATCTAGCGCTTAATTGTCAACAGAAACTTCAGAATTAACAAAAAAATTCTGCAGAATTATCGAAAAATGTTTTTAAAAAGTTTTCTTATTTTTTTTTGTAGCGGGCTTTTCGATAACCACTGGCGTCGATTATCTGTGAATAACTCAAAGTGTATTCTTTTGTATTGTTCTCTCATACCACGCACAAAAAACGGTACCACTTTGAAAAAAAAACGACACCACTTTTTTTTGGATCTGGTCGAAACAATTTTGGTTGTTGCACAACAACCGGCTATCCTTGCTGAATTTGTGTTTTGTTTATTCAGCAGTATGCTTCATTATCTTTCTATTTCTCTGAATCAGTAACTTACTTATCAATGAAATTAAAATCTAGTCTTGAAAAACAATATTACAGCTATGGTCAAAATGACTAAATCAGATTTGAAATGCTATAGAATGTACAAAACATCTATCAAAATCTGTAGAAAAGAAGCCCATGAGTACTTTTTCTGTAGACTTGATAAATTACCTACTCAAAATTTCAAGACAACAGATGCTTTTTGTCAAACTTATCAACTTCAATAATCCAATCATCAGACAAAAAAAAACAGATGGCTTTGAAGTTTTTGACTTCAAAACACAGTTTTGTGAAATAACTTATGATGAAATGTCACCTGAGGTAGCTCACAGATAAATTTTGAAATACAAACTTTTTTGGTCAACTTAATCGACTCGAAAACTAGAACGCAATTGGTTGCAAAAAAAAATTTTTTACAATAATTAGTCCTAATAAACAATGAAATTAAGAATAAACCAGATTAGAAATTAAGAATAAACAATAGAGCGAAAAACTTCAGAAACACTTTCAGAGGCCCTTGAAATTGCAGTTTGCTTGATTTAATCATCGGAGATTGGGCGGAAGTTTGGATTCGGATGTTTTTGCAACTCAAAATCAATTACCACAAAGACACGTCGTATGAGGTAGCTTGATGTATCTGATTTGCAAAGTTTTCATAACTGATTTGGACTGAAACAAAAAAAACTCCAAAAGTGGATTTCACCGCTCACAGTGTCAAGACAAAACGGCTGAATGATTTTGTTTTTAGACAAAGTTAGAAGTGTCGATATCTTAAGAGTCGACAACTTAAGAAACGGTATATTAACTTTGCGATGGTTCAAGCAAGACTACTGGAAATTTGAATGGTGCAGAATAAAAAAACTTAGCAGGAATATAAAACTCACGCCTTACCACGCAAGATACAATTCATGACGCAATTTTAGAAAACATGCTTTTATTTAAAAAAATTTTGGAACCATTTCGAGTTTTTTGCTTAATAACTGGTTATTCTTGCTTGATATATTTATAGGCATCTACCAGCTTCTTTCCCTCATTTCAATAACAGTGTTTGATGCATTGACATGGAGCAAAGGCAGTTCGTTAGACCAAAAAGACAACAACTCCTTTGAGCAGGTGTTCTTCATTCTCTTCATGTCTCTCTCAATCACTGTCCTGTTCGCCTCTCTGCTGACCTTTGGTTTGACCCTGGTGCAAATTGCAATCCCTGCAGTGGACTTCATTGGCTTACAAGTGATTCTCAACTTATGCTTGGGTAACTGTATTGATCAGTATCTGTCCGACCCATTTGAGAAGTTTTTTTGTAAGATTCAATGGCTGCCTTAAATGCGCTTTTTTGATATCTTCATTGTTCACTTTAACTTCCAGCTTTTCCTAATGGAAATTTTGATTGATAAATCTGTTAGAGTTTGATTTCATTTCCCGGTCAGTTTTGGTATTGTTAGAATGAATATAAAACACTACTTTTAAACAGTAGTTCTTTAACACTACAGATTTGCGTCATGAGAGGTTGCAATTTGCTTCTTCTCCTTTCAGGGTTCACCTTGTTCTGCCAGAAGTGTTTCATCCTCAAATTGACCCCCCAGAATGAGAGCCTGCAGGTGGAACGACAGTTCCTCTTCCTGGTCGACTGCTCCATCATCTTCTCCTTCGTGGTCGCAGTGGCACTCCTGTCTGCCAAACTACTACATATAGTTGCACCTATACACAGTGCCCTGTAGTACACCAACTGTTATTATGGACTGGTCAAAACGTCCTGCTTGTCATCAATGAGTGAAAATGATCAAAACCAGTCTGTTGAACCGAAGGTGATGTTGCTAACAGCAATACACATAGCAGCAACACCCATTGCCTCAACAATTAGCACCACTCATTTGCTAATAATGCTGTTGATTGAAACTCATCATTTTAATGAACTTCTCTTTTTAATCAAACTGATTAATCAAAATAATGTTCACCTTTAGTTAATTATGGTTAGTTTGGTGGCTCTGAATTGTTAAATTTGGAAACAAAAGTCTTTAAAATCATAAATACTTAAAGCGAGTTTCATCCATTGTAGAAATAATTACAAATTACAGTTTCTCCCAAAAGTTCACAAAATCAGATCGAAAGTTTTCCGATATTTCCAAATTGTACGGAGTGATATAGACAAAAACTTGATGCTCTTTTGTAAATTTGGGCCATAGCTGATCGGCGTCTATCGGCGCACCATACTTCATGAACTCCCGGATGCACTCTTGCAAGCTATGGATCATAACCAACTCTTCTTCGCTGCATCTCTGCATGTTGTGTCCGAAAACGTGAAGAAGATCTGATCCGTGTGAACATCTGACATATTCAGGTATTTGAACCGATAATCCGGTAGAGTGAGCTAAATTAGGACGGAAGTCGTGAACAGCCATGTAAATTGGACTTTTCGGAAAATTAAAGCATATATCGTTCAGAAATTTGACCAAAGAAAGATTTATTACGATATCGCCCATCATTTCCGATGCTTTCTGGAAAACTTCAATTTTACTCTTTTGGATTGGAAGCTTCTGGTAAAACTCTTCAACTTGTTCGATTGCTTCATCAGGAAGAAATCCATGCAGATATTGTTTTATAAATGAAGTGTAAGCCTCCGGGCTATCAGTGAGTAATTCTGAAACTTTTTCACGAAGGACAAACCACGTGAAGAAATCACCTTCATGTCTCGTAAGAGTGGCTAGGAGAGGGATGTCTTTGTTGTCTATAAAAGCGTCAGTGTTATTCATACTAAAAAACGAAGAGTCCTCTATTGGTCCGAATGGTAAGAAGTGTCTATCGAGTAGAATTGAGAAGCACATGAGAGGCAGGGACTGAAGAAATGCGAGTATTTCATCTGGAGATTGCTTCACGGATCCACCGTTCTGGGAGACAAACCTAGAAGCAAGCAAAGACTGATCGATCTCAAATGATATTTGAAGGCTCAAGATGAAACGAACAATGGCAACCATTTCATGAAGAAATATTGGTCTTTCCAAATTGCGTAAGCACCAGTATTTCTCAAATTTGCGGTATTTATCAAAACTAAATAGTGAAATAAAAAACGGCGACTGGATTGACCTTTTGCTGTGTGAGATGAGAGAACTCTTGCTGCGTCCTACAGCCCAGAGTGAGTCATAGGAACCACTCATAGCCACTGCTTTGTGGAAGTAGTTTCTACTCTGGGCTGAGAGGTAGTGGCAGAAGACAGAGGAGGCACCCGAACTGTGCCCTGCTAGAGTGATGTTGTTTGGGTCACCCCCAAAGCTGTCGATGTTGTCTTTGATCCACTCCAGGGCAACTAGTTGGTCTTTTAAACCCAGATTGGGCTCTACCACGTCCTATAACCATATCCAATGATATTTATAGTCGAAAAAATGAAACATAATTTGAAATATTCTTAAATTGTTTATCAACTAAAAATCATGTTAATCAGATTACAATTGCCAAGGTGAAAAAAATGAGCTCAGTTACGGGACGCAAAATCATGGTGTTGCAGCGCAAAACGTAACTAATGCGTGAAACATAAATCGTTCAAATTTAAAGTTACGACCTACAAAAGAGCAGTTTTTTTTTTTTGCACTTTTGCAGTTTCTGCAAAAGTCAAGCTGGTTTTTAATTGCTTCAAAAGGCAAGCAGTTTCGGAAAAAGTCAAGCTGGCCTTGCGTCCGATATACGATGATGTAAGTAAAAAGTTTGAGTTATAGTCGTTTATGACTGATTATGTCCGTTTATACAAAAATTGTGGATATATTCCGATTTATGACCAAACACGAGTATTTACCGAGAAATACGAATAAAATATTGATTTTAACTTTGTTTTGTGGAGATTAGCGCACATTTTGGCGCCCCAAAAGGGACAGATATTAGTTAATTCCCTTATAATAATCCGAGTTATTATTACAAAAACGGTTATACTGAAAAATTCATAATGGATGTGTCTGGGAGTTCAATAGCACTGACAGGGTAACCCATCCAGACGATAAGTCACTGACAGAGTTTCTGACTTGCAACAAGACGGTTTGGGCTATTCAGTGAGACTGTTTGTGACCGACGATCTCATCGGTGCGCCCTATCTTCACAAAAACTGTAAGACCGAACCTAAACTTTTAATTTTGATAAATTACGGATACGATGTTTTATATTATAAATGTGAGACACAACGCCAGTACTCACCCCTAATTTTTCTCGATACCCGAAAATTTTTGGCCAGTTTGATTAAACTGAAATTAGAAAAATTGCTCTAAATCGGGTACTAGATAACCGGAACTAGATTTTTTGCTCGATAGCCAAAATGTTGGCTATTTTTTTGATGAATTGAAAATTTATAATATCGGAACATAGACTAACGGTTACTAGACTAGTTTTTTGATACCAGTTATGACTCGAATCCACTAACCAAACTATACAAAATTTTGTTTGAAAATTGAAAATTTTCTGAAAAATTAGTCCAAAACTCCGTTGAACCGTATAGTTAAAGTATGTTTAGTTGTCTGGGTAGTTAATATAAGGCAAGTTAAGTTAATTTTTTTCATCCTCAGGTTCACTCCGCGTGTGTTGTTGAGAGTTAACCGATTTGCCTGATTCTCCAACCCCATTGGTAAACTTAAGGTTTACAACGACTTGATACCTGTTTGCATTCGTTCGCTTTTCAAAACATTCGTTTCGCAACGACTGACTAAGTGGTCCGGGACGGTAAAATTAAGCAAGTTAAATTGTTTTCTTTCATCCTCAGGTTTGCTCCGCGTGTGTTGTTGGTTTTCAACCGACTTGCTTAATTCCCAAACCTCTTGGTAATTCGTCGAGCTACTAGCCGATTAGTAGTGACGCACCGTCGTACGACCGGTCCACAAATTTCGTACGCCGTAACATCATCCTAAGTGGTCAGGGAGGTGATATTAAGTAAGTTAAGTTGGTTTTATTCATCCTCAGGTTTACTCCGTGTGTGTTGTTTGATATCAACCGACTTACTTAATCCCCAGCCCCTTTGGTAACTTTACTCACCGAAAACCGTTCCGAATCGCCCCGCAATCGCCCGATAACCGTTAAGTATAGTTTGAGTTAAGTATAGACCCTAGAGCCATGGATGAGAACTTTCAGAAGAGGGTTCAAAGGTTATTTGCGAAGCGAACCAAGCTTGAAAATGAACTGTACAAGTGCCATGAAATTATAATTGAGAACATTGAAAGTCAGAGTCGCTCATCAAAGATTGACACTCAGATTCAGAATTGCAAGAGCCTGATAGAGACTGAAGTTGAAATAAATGAGGAATTGATTAAGTTAGCTTCTAAAAGTGTTGATCCTGATAAATTGATACCAGCGCAGGATATGTGGCTTCAGACGGTTACATCAAGAAACGATACAGTTTTACAGAAGGCTGCATCATATAAAGCTGGCTTAAACGTTGAACCTGAGGAAACAGAGCTTGACAATGTTGCAGAATCGTTAAGTACGATCGTAACAACACAACCACAAGATTCACATGAAGCAGATGCGCGCTCTAAGGTGTCGCGGTACAGTAGTCGACATCATAAATCAGGTTCGCATAAATCCAGTCGCTATACCGTCGCGCAGTCAAAAACATCAACTGAGAAGAGGCGAGATTTGTTGGTTTTGAAGAAGCAGCAAGAGGAACTTGAGAGACAAGCAAAGGTATCATTGAAGTTGAAAGCGCAGCAAAATAAAATAAAAGAACAGCAAGGAAGTTTAGAGTTGGAAGAACTAGCTGAGGTACACCGCAAGAAACTGGCTGAAATTTAGTTAAAGGAATTTGAGTTGGAAGAAGAGCTTTCTGAAGCAAGTGAGAAGATAGGAAATGCTAGCGTAACACATGTTGACCCACAACGTACTGAAAAATGGGTAGAAAACGTTGTCACTGAGCAAGAGGAAGCCGAAGTTGTTGCAAGCTCAGAGCAAAGTCATCCAGTAGTCGAGAGTTCCACTTTGATTGCTACTGATGTTTTGCAAGGGGTTGGTGCCGTCGTCAGCGGGGGTGCCTTTGTCAACGCTGGTCAAACCACATACGGTGAACCGGGAAGCCACAATAGGAATCGAATTCAGGCTCAGAGATCAAGTTTGGTCCAATCGCGTCTGTCATTGCACTCAATCGAGAACCCATCTAGTTTACCACAGTTCGTTGCCTCCAGCTCAAACTTTGTTACTCCACACTTAGCTTCAACACCTCATGCTGAAGTTTCGCAAAATCACAATCTGATACCACAAGCAAGTGGTAGCATTCCCGCTTCAATGCCCTTTGGTAATCCCACCATTAATGTGGCACCGCCTTCTGTGTCGACCGTTACTAATCCAGTTTCGCTTCCGGCGAGTCAACCTTTTGTTCCTCCATTAACCGTTCCGATTCCCATTTAGCTTCCGATTATTCAACCATTTGTCCCGTCAACCGTTCCTATTCCCTCTTTGCTTCTGGTCAGTCAGCCACATTCCGGCCCCGTTTCAACTGGGTATCAGGCACCTGCAGCGCCATCCCATCAACCTATAAATGTTCCAAACAACCCAACAAGTTTCTCAAGTGAACACTATAACCCGTATAGCAGTTTGTGGAGACCTGCCGCGACTGCGCAAACGATGCCAGTTCCTCAATACTGCGCACCGCCCTCAAACGTTTTCTCAGTGACAACTCCTGTTGTTCCGCCAAACACCGTAGTTCCTTATACAAGTTCTGGGACTGTGTATTACACCCAGCCGCAAACTCATCCAGTTGTTGAAACAGCGCATCAAGGTTATCCACCTACATATCCTGCGCCCACTACGGGCCCGTCTTACGTGCCTAATAGCGAACAACCCATCTCGGCGAGAGAGTTAGCAGATATCATTCTGCATAGCCGCAAAGACCGTCTACCGGAGTTGAACTTGGAAGTGTTTGATGGAGAACCACTTAACTGGTATGAATGGTTCGGGTAGTTCCAAGCAACAGTTGATTCGGCTATGCTAACTGATGATGAAAAACTCAAATATCTGAAAACGCACGTTAAAGACAAAGCCAAGAGTGCAATTGCTGAATACGGCTACAGTGGAGTGTTGTATAAGGATGCTCTAGCAACTCTCCAGAGAAAGTTTGGGCAGCCTCATGTTGTAGTTGGTGCACATTTGGATAAGTTGAAGAATTTTCCCGCATTGAAGATGCACAACTCTGACCATGTTATAAGTTTTTCTGCGGTGATTTCTGGGCTCGTAGCTGTTTTTAGGTCTTTGTCGTTCAATGACGACTTGAAAAGTGTGAACCTATTAAATCAAGCCGTCAGTAAGCTTCCTCCAAATCTAAAAGAGGCATGGTCCATGCATACTGTTAGACAACATTGGCAGCGATTAACATTGCTAGACTTCAACGATTGGCTTAAGAATAAGGCAGAAGGCCATGAGCGATTGAAATCTTTAGTCAAAGTCGAGCAGCCAGTTAAACAAAAAATAGTTACAAAAGTGCTTGCAGGTAACACTAAGGTAAGTTCTAAGGATGAGAAAAGTAGAGAAAAGACAAGGTTTCCTCCATGCTCGTTATGCAAAGGGCAGCATGCACTCTGGAACTGTTCCGTGTTCAAAGAGAAAAACGCAACACAAAGGGCTAAATATGTAGCAGAACAAAAGCTCTGTTTTTCTTGTTTACAAGGCAACCATACCTTCCGAAAGTGCCAAAAGGCAAGAAAATGCCCAAAACAGGACTGTGAGAGCACTCACAATGTGCTTCTTCATGGAGCCGAGAAAGTTTTCCCGCCCAAAGAGGCCGACCGATCACCATCGACTCAAACTAATACAAACACTACTTCTGCAAACAACGCAGCTTGTGTTAAACCTTGTGAGGGAACTGCAAAAGGTATTCTTCCCGTTGCGTTGGTAGATGTGTCCTCTGGTTCGGAAAATTCGAATGCACTAGCACTTTGTGACACCGGTTCCACTCATTCTTGGGTTTCCGCGGCACTCGTTGAACGTCTGAAATTAGTTGGCACGCCCGTAAATGTTACGACCGATGGTTTTAACTCAGCCAAGGTATCTAAAACTCAACGAGTTCACTTGAAAGTTTCCGCAAAGCCCAATGAAAGTGAATTTTCGTTTTCGTTTGTCGCTTTCGTTAAGCACAACATGTATATAGGACCCGATGTTATAAACGTTTCCGAATTGCAGGTCAAATACCCGCAACTAGCCCCGTTAAAGACGACTGCGTATAATTACAAAGAGATTGAGATAGTTATAGGACAGGACTTCTATCATGCGATAAGACCCCTCGAACATGTCTTCGGAGATGAACTTGACTCACCGTGCGCCGTCCGACTTCCGATAGGTTGGGTCATTAGTAGTCCGTCTCCTGATCGTTCGTCCTTAAATTCTTCTTCCTTTAACTGCGTTACGGACGATACTTCTCTGACCGACCAAATCAAAACTTGGTATGAGTTAGAGTCGTATGGTGCGTTCAAGCAAGTAGATGCCCGTTCCGCCGCAGACAAGCGTGCTTTGTCGATCCTAAAAACTGAAACCGTTCACGATGGTGAGCGTTACACTGTACCGATGCTGTGGAGTGATAATGATGTTAGCTTGCCTAACAATTATTATTCTTCATTAGCCCAATTAAAGTCGTTAGAGAAAAGATTAGATAAAGATCCGTTACTTCGCGAGAAGTATACCGAAACAATCAGTGAAGATATAAGTAAAGGATATGTCATAACCGTCAACCCGCACAATCCCAGCTCACGAGCCGAACGTGAGTGGTATCTTCCACACCATCCGGTTTTGAACCCGAACAAACCCGGCAAGGTGCGCCGTGTGCTCAATGGAGCATCCAAATTTCATGGCACTTCCTTAAATAGATCTCTCTTGGTTGGCCCGGATCTCCTTCAAAATCTTATTTTTGTACTGTTGAGGTTCCGTCAACACAAGTACGCCGTCTCAGCGGACATAGAAGGTATGTTCTTACAAGTTGGAGTACTTGCGCGAGATCAACCGTCTCTCCGTTTTTTGTGGCGGGAGGACCCCACTTCAAGTGTGGTGGTTCACCAATACACCCGTCATATTTTTGGCGCTCGTGATTCGCCAACTTGTGCGAATTTCGCGCTACAAAAAACTGCTTCTGATAATCAAGCTGAATAACCCGAAGCCGCTTCAGCCGTTGTCCAGAAGTTTTACATGGACGACTATCTTGACTCGTTCGAAAATACCGCTGACGCTCTTAGCCTAAGTAAAGACTTAGTCGCAATGCTCAAATTAGGTGGGTTTAACCTGACAAAGTTTGTTAGCAATGTACCCGAAGTTACAACCGCTCTTAATCCGGACAACCGTGAGTCCAACCCGTCAGTTAAGGATATTTGTAAGAGTCCAGACCAATCGTCGCATGTTCTTGGTCTCAGGTGGGATCATGTAAAAGATACCCTAGTAGTAAGTAGAGGTGTTGATCGACCACTAGATAAAGCAATTACTCAACGCACCGTGTTGAGTTTTGTTTCCTCAGTTTTTGATCCAATAGGACTGGTAGCTCCATATACTGTGAAAGCGCGCCTTTTACTAAAAGACATATGGAGAATCAGTGGTCAAAAGTGGGATGATGATCTCCCAGAGGAAATTAAACAACAATTTCTAGATTGGCACTCAGGTCTTCCACTATTAGGTACTCTGACGATACCTCGTAGCTACTTTACCGAACCGTTCGACCGCTGTGAACTTCACACGTTCGGTGATAGTTCGCAGGACGTTTTTTGCGCCGTATCGTTTCTCCGAGCCCGACTTGCTAAATCGCAAAAGACCGAGTTAGCTTTTGTATTTGGGAAAGCCCGTGTAGCGCCTATGAAGATGCTCTCCATTCCCAAGTTAGAGCTTCAGGCTGCTCTGCTTGCGACTCGACTCAAAGAAGAGATTTTGAAAGCGCTTACTTTCAAAGTAAGCAATGTATTCATGTGGACTGATTCTACCACCGTTCTCCAGTGGCTTAACTCGTGCAACAAACTTCCTGTGTTTGTTGGAAACCGCACTGGTGAAATCTTGGAGTCCACCACCATTGATCAATGGAATCATGTACTCAGTGGTGATAACCCAGCTGATACCGGCACACGAGGGATTTCTTCGGAAGCCCTCAAGGATAGCAGCTGGGTAGAGGCCCTAGTATATTGAGGACATGTGATTGGCCATTCAAGCCGAACACTGATGTCATCAAAAATATCCAATTAAAAGGCCCACTCTGTGACATTGATACATGCCTTGAGACTGCATCTACGTTTGTTGTTGATGCTTCATCTGAGAAAGCGCCGTCGATCCGTCTGTTTAAAAATTGGGATAAATTCAGCTCAATTGTAAAGTACAAACGTGTTTTAGCGTTTATGCTTCGTGTGCTACCATCGCATAAACACTTCCGTACAAAAACGCTTGAAATAACCGACCCGTCCGAGTTAGATATTGCCGAGCAGAAGCTCATTTATCTCGCTCAGTCCGAATCATTTCCTGCCGAAGTGAAAATACTTCAGTCCGATAAACTGATAACAAAGAAAAGTCGGATTGCTAAATATTCTCCGTTCATCGGCCCAGCTGGCATCCTGCGTTCAACTGGACGTATCAGCCGTCTTGTTAATACCGACTTTGATAGCAAACATCCAATAATACTGGATGGTCGACACCGAGTTGCTCATATGTTGATTAGGCATATGCACTTTCAACATGCACATCAGGGGTTGGATTACATGCGTGCTGTAGTTCAGTTGAAATACATTGTTCTGAAGTTGCGCTGGTTACTTGGGAACATCGAAAATACTTGCATAACATGCCGTAAGCGCAAAGCAAAAACAGTTGTGCCCATTATGTCTGACCTACCGATTGAAAGACTGGGTTACAAGCAGCCTCCCTTCTCCAACACAGGTGTTGATTACTTTGGCCCGTTTCAAGTGCCAATACGCCGAAGTACCGAAAAGAGATGGGGTTTCCTATTTACCTGCCTCACGACTCGAGCAGTTCACATCGAGTTGGTTCCATCTCTCGATACTAGTTCCTGCGTCATGGGCGTAGAGCGATTTATTGCAAGGCGAGGTACCCCCAAAACCATTCTTTCTGACAATGGCACGAATTTTGTTGGTGCTCAAAAGGAGCTCCTATCCTGTGTCCAAAATTGGAACAAAGTCGCCCCGGCCGTTTTCGTCCACAAAGGCATTAAGTGGAAGTTTAACCCGCCCAGTGCCCCTCATCACGGTGGCGCCTGGGAGCGGCTAGTGAGAAGTGTTAAGCGAGTGTTGTACGACATATTAGGCAACAGGAGATTAACTGAGGAAGTTCTAGGAACAACGCTCTGCCTAGTTGAACAATTACTTAACGCAAGACCGATCACTCCGGTCAGTTCCGATCCGCACGACCTAGAGGCACTCACCCCGAATCACTTCATTCTCGGTCACAGCGCAGCTAGCTTCCCGTCGTTAAGTTTCGAAGATAACTTTGATTATAAAAAGCGTTACGCCAGAGCACAATCGTACGCTAACGCAGTTTGGTCACGCTGGCTGCGTCAATATGTACCATCTCTCAACAAGAGAGCAAAGTGGCATAATGATTCGGATGTCACACTGAAAACCGGCGACTTGGTTTGGGTAGTCGAACCCGACAGCCCACGTGGGCATTACCCACTCGCCCGTATTGCTAAACTACACTACGGCAAAGACGGATGCGCCCGATCCGCCGATATCAAAACTGTTACGAGCGAGCTGATACGACCGACCGTAAAACTCGCACCTGTTCTTCCGTCTTTAGGGGCGGAGGATGTTGCAGCGCAAAACGTAACTAATGCGTGAAACATAAATCGTTCAAATTTAAAACTACGACCTACAAAAGAGCAGTTTTTTTTTTGCACTTTTGCAGTTTCTGCAAAAGTCAAGCTGGTTTTTAATTGCTTCAAAAGGCAAGCAGTTTCGGAAAAAGTCAAGCTGGCGTTGCGTCCGATATACGATGATGTAAGTAAAAAGTTTGAGTTATAGTCGTTTATGACTGATTATGTCCGTTTATACAAAAATTGTGGATATATTCCGATTTATGACCAAACACGAGTATTTACCGAGAAATACGAATAAAATATTGCTTTTAACTTTGTTTTGTGGAGATTAGCGCACACATGGCAATCCTTTGCAAAACATCATTATGGATAGCATTGACGTTTAAAAAGTTAACGAATATAGTTCAACTGAAAGCAAACTGACTGGGATATGAAGGAAGCCCAACACTCCCAGTCTGTAGTCCAACGTCACCACCACCACACTCTGATTAGCACACAAAACCTGCCCATGGTACAAGCTCTCACTACTGGCCCCATTGTGGAACCCACCACCGTATAGAAACACGAACACCGGCACCAAGTTCGGATCATCCTCCGAATCCGAAGTTAGAGTTCGTCTCCTTGGACGCTCGAGTTTCCCGACTAGCTGCAAAGCGTCACATGACCTGTACAATTTCTTCAGTTCTGCTTGGGGGAGAGAATCTTTTTCGAATGCAGCCCCGCTTTTTCTCCGGCTCAGTGGCGAAAATAGGCTTCTTCTGAGCTGAGCGAAGTTGGTGGTTTCTTCGGATGATATCTGAACTGGCTTCCATATGTTTAAATAGGCACATTCTTCCGCCTCTGATTTGATTGAGCTGCCTAGGATTGGGTTGGAACGTGCCTGAAACATTTTTGTTTCAAAAGTAGCACCACGAAAGCGCTTAAATACGTCTTCAATTTATGCAAATACTAGCCTGAATTGGCGCACTTTTGAAATGAGTTGCATCAAGTATACCGTTCCATGGTTCAAGTGGGTCTAGTGGCTTAAACCGCCTATTCCCTGTCGGCTGAGTGGCATAAGGAATGCCAAGAAACTCGTGAACAGGTACCGAATACTCTTCATCAGAGCGACATTTGATGCGGACCTGGATCGAGTTTCCTTTCACTTGGCCATATTGGGTAGTAGCAACACAACAACTAGACGATTCAGCAGCACCACTCATTGCCATGTATTCATTTGAGAAACTGTTTGTTATATGGACTTGAAAGGGTGCCTTGTTTGATGCTCAAACATGACACTATTGTGTAGCATCGAAGTTGTGTTTAATGTCAGGAATGAGTACAAAAGCACCAAACAATACAATGATGTACGATTCTTTGTCAAAAACAAGCCCTCAATGTTTTTTTTTGAAAACAGTCCAAACCACCTAGACTAGTTAACGCACCAAAAAAAACATTTTTTGGCCTTCGAAAACGTACTAATTTTTGCAAAACGCTAATATTGATGAAAAAATGGTAGCCAATTCAAAGTTTCTCATTTCAATTTGTGGTTTTCTATTTTTCGGAGTTCAAGAACTATAAATTCAGCGTCCAAAAAACAATAATATTTAAAATCAAAACTCTGATTAAAATCAAAACTCTGAAGGAAAGTTTGAAATAAGTAAGCTGAAAAAAGTTATCAGAAGTACCTAAGAAATATATTTTAAAATCTGTTTTGTGATTATTTTTATCCCTTATCTGGTACCCACGGCTGCTCTCTGAGATACCTCATTTTTCTAGAAAAAACCTGCACTCAAAATCCCTCCGAGAGTGGTCGGAACTACAAAGTCAAGGTAAAACATCAGTTTCAATGATGTGGGGACCCTTTGGGTCGGCAGGGGTCGAATCCCTGAAAAGAAGCGTCTGCCTTACAGTACGTTTAAAAATCGAGTAAGCTGTGAGTAGTGCAGAAAAAGCTGCAAAGCTGGCAGATAGTTTGGGATATTTTGCGCTGATGGTGATCCACTATAATGGATTTAAAATGGTTTAAAAAATCTCTGAAATTATTGGAACACCTGCCTACTCTAAAGAAGCGTCAGTAAGACTGTCTGAGGACATACCTTAAATTTTAAGATTTTGTTATTATTATTATTCAGCACGTCAGCGCATATCTGCCGATAAAATAGCAGGAAATTTTATATATATGTGGAAAAAGCTTCCTGTCTGACGACATTCCTTAAGTTTTAAGATTTTGTTATTATCATTCAGCACATCAGCCCATATCTGCAAATAAAATAGCTGGAAGTTTTATATAAAGATGGAAAAAGTTAACTCAGGCTGCTTAAATTGATGTTGGTGACCCTGTTTTGTCATTGAAAGAGTTTTTAGGATTTTTTGATAACCAATTATATTTCAAAGGGCTTCATTGTAATGAAACAGGGTGAAAAGGCAAATCGTGAAAAAGACATCTGTAGAAAACTTGGAAAGACGCCCACAGTGAGGTTCCTTGAATAGTAATTGATTACAATCGGTTTTAGTGTTCAGAAAACTTGCCATTATAGTTGATTAAAATTACATTTGGGAACACACGATCGATTATAGTCCATTGTATTCCAATAATTTCAGATAATTTATAAACCATTTTAAATCCATTATAGTGAAACACCATCAGCGTAAAATATTCCAAACTATCTGCAAGCTTTGCAGCTTTTTCTGCACTACTCACAGCCTACTCGATTTCTAAACCTACTCTAATTTACTCAATTTTTGCAAAACCATAAGCCCCACTTTTTAAACCCAGGTTTTCCCAATTTCAAGGCGCAACTTTACCCCCGCAGCTACAACCACCCACACAACCTCCATCTACCCCACCCCCATCTACCCCACCCCACATCCCCCACACCCCAAATACCCCACCCCACCTACCTTAACCCCACCTACTTTAACCCCACCTACCTTAACCCCACCTACCTTAACCCCACCTACCTTAACCCCACCTACCTTAACCCCACCTACCTTAACCCCACCTACACCCACCGACCTATCCCCACCCCACCTATCCTACCCCAATCCCCACAATTAATTCCCCTTCACCCACGCATACACCTGCCTCCTCCCACACCTACACCACCCCCAAAGCCCAGCACCTTCTGCTGTTTTACAAATCCCCCAACCATACAGTCACACAAAGGGTCCCCCACAGTACTTTTTGAGATATCCATATTTGGTGACTGGCCCTAAAATTTTTCTGAAGGCGCCTTTGGTGCCAACCTATATTACTTTTGAAGGGGGAGCACGCGCCGAAAAAGCGCGATTTTTTAGTCAACATTTTCCAAAAAGTGCCTATGGTCGACCAAAATGTGGTCGACTTAACAAAAGTAGAAAAAAATTTTGAAAAATTTTTGAAAATCCGCCCCCCCCCCCTCGAGAAAATCTTAGATCAGCTCCTGCTGCGGGTCGTGTTTTCTACATTAACTTTATCGTTTCTATAGCATAAAAAGCAAAATTATAAACCTCACATGGCTTAGCAATTGCACTTGAATCGGTGCTTTCTGTAAATCAGGATTGTTGTTTTTCACGGATGAAAAAACTGTTACATGGTTTCAAAAGTATCATTTACTGGTTGAGAAGGCCAAAAAAGAGGGAAACTCCAGTCTCTCTAATAAATACGCCGTAGACATTTTTTAAAACTATACGAGAAGTTGCTGCCATTAAATAGATTTTGTCGCCTCCGAGGAATGTAGGAGGCTCAAATCTATACGTGAAGGACTACGCTATTTCATCAGAGGTTGCCTAAATTTTTGTTTTATCCTCATTTACTTTTTAGTGTCACATTAATTGGTGATCAGCTTCTGGCGATATGTGGTCAACAGTGCAAAAACGCAACATTCAAGCCGTTATCTCTCGACATTCGGAAAAGGTTCTGGGTTTTTTATACAGACTGGAATTGCCAAAAAATTAGTTATGAAAAACGAAAAAGATATAAAAATACTCGAGTCCAGACTCCGTCACTTAGTCGAAACAATTACCTAACTCCTCAAAATTGCAGTCGTAGGGCATAAATTATGGCTTAAAGCAATGTACTGATGCAGGTTCTTCTTGTTGAACAAAATATGAACTGAATTTTGATCATACTATTTATTTTTATCTGTTATATGCAGGTCATTTGTGCAAAACATTGTAATTATTGACAATTGCGGTATCTCATCGTATTTCGCTGTCAATGAAAACTGATAAGATAAAAAAATTATATTATTCCGCAGCTGCGCCCACTTTTATACAAACAAACATAGCGACACTAAAACCCGTCCATCTCGAGCAAAAATCAACTATGCTGTTTGCAGGTGACTTGATGGAAGCCATTTGGGCTTCAAAAGAAATAAAAATTAGGTAATTTAGTTTCCCTCTACTAAATTTGGAAAAAAATGGTTTCATCATTGAATATAAAGCTTGTTTGAAAAGAAAGACAGGTTTCAAAATTAATACCTTAAAGTGGTAAACCCTTTGCTAGTTTTATCAAAGTTTTTTAGACATTTGTAGCGCTAACTACTTTTTCAATCGATTATGTTACAAATTCATGAGAGTCAACCTGTTGTAGATAACTGTGCTTCAATGTTTCAGCTAACTCTGTTTTCGTTGATTAGTTTTGTATTTATCCGAGGAACCGCTAGATGACTGTTTATTGATCTGTAATTTTGGAAGTATCTGGGTTGCGTGAACTGTCTTCCACAGCAGATTCTTTTTTCTTGCTCGCAAACTCGAGAACCGATTTGAATGCTTCACACAAATAAAATCCGAACACGATAAATATTATCAAAACGTTTTCAAAGTCCGATAAGATTCAGAAAAGTTATGTTTAAAACAGAGAAAAATATTTCAAGTTTTTTAAGAATTCGAACCAAGATTGAAGAAACGACTTTAATATGAAAATGTGAAATTTTCCTGAGTTAGTGAAAATTGGCTAGAAAGAAATAAAACAATCACTAATCTATAGTATTTTTCCACATTTTGAGAGTGGCCGAAACAATAAGCAGTTCTAAGTTTGAAAAAAGCAACTAGATAGATGTATTTTGAATCTGTAAAAAAATCATCAGACAAAAAAGCCGGCTTGAAGTTTATTTTGTCTATTTTAGGATTTCAAAACCACAAAAGGCTTTTTCTTAGAGTTCTCCATTACTTTCAGAAAGCACCAACGGATAAATTGAGTGATTTCTACCGAAAGCAGAAAATCGAGTGGAAAAAGCAATGAACAAAAAAATTTTCATTGAAAACTTATAAAAATTTGAAGGTAGAAGTATGCAATCGAATCCAGACCCCTGCCACGAATTTAATGCACGCTTTAAGGAAAATTCAGCGCAGGGTATAATGTGCGTTACTTCTCAAATTTAGGGAGTTATTGGTTTTGTTAGCTGTTAAACTTTCATAAGGGCGCTATCGCTGCTTTTTTTGTTCCGATCATTTTTGTTCCCATGAGAAATTTCGACTTTTTAACAAGCAGTTTTTGACAGAACTTTTATTATAGTTTGAAAAGTGTTGTTCTCTTTAGCTCATTTTAAAAAATATTTTCAAGTTGTGATCATTTTTTAAACAGTTATGGGGGGTCTAAAAATTGCCAATTCGGCCATTTTGGGAGAACTAACGCGCTATGTATTTTCTACAATTAACGCGTAAGAGGAGATTTATTTCGTCTTAAAAATTTCTTTCAAATTTAATTAGAGCATGCTAATTGGTCTTATCAAAACGTTTTCATGCAAATATATCACTTTTAATTTAAATAGCGATCAGAAAATTAATTTTCAAAAAACCTCGGAAAAAATTGATAATTTTTAAATTTATTTTAGAAATTTTATCAATCATTTTATCCTATAAAACTCCCTAGAAAATAAAATGCAATCGGAGTTTGCCCTGATTCGAGCAGTTTGCTACTGTTTATGACATCGTTCATGTCAAATGCCGACAAGAGTTGAACGCATTTTTATCTCGATTCAAATTTTACCATAGTTAAAACTTATCTCACATCTCCAACTAGCTATTTTTGAGGGATTTCAATAGATTTATATATCACTTGAAGCGTCTTGTTGTCCTGAGCTCAAACTACCAAAATACCTTACCTGTGATTTTTTTGTACAAGTTATGGGTTTGAAAAATTGTCAATTCGGGAGAATTAACGCGCGATAAGTTTGGTGATTTTAACGGGTAATAATGTTTTAATCCGTTTTAGAAACGTTCGTAATTGAACTGAGGCATTATGTTTGGACTAATCAAAATTTGCTATATGCAAGATATATTACCTTGTAGTTTACATAGCATCCGGAATGGGGATGATTTTCAAAGCTCAAGCAAATGTGAAAAGTTCAATTTATTTTTAAAATTTCATCATTTCATTTTTTTATGAAACGAACACTTTCCCAATTACCTTAAAAGCAGTCAAAACATTAGAGACTTTGCCCTGATACGAGCAGCTTTGCTTTAGTTATGGTTTGCGAGTTCGCTAATAACTTTATAAGCTTTTTATCAATCTAGGAAAATTGGAAATTAAAAAGATGAAAAAAAAACATTTCTATGTTATGCAAAAACTATGCGAAATAAGCTTTCTAAACTTCAATCTAATTTAAAGTGTATACATTTCGAAACTGGATGTTTTACCATTCCGTCGTTTCCCATACATGCCAATTTGGCTTTTGTTCCCCCATCACTTATGTTGTACCGATTTGATGGTTTTTACATTTCAGGTATAGAGACTGATGGTTCTACATGCCATTCAAAACAATTATAAAAAACATCCTTAGTACTTTTCGTAATTTGAGAAAAATAAAGAAAACGAAATTTTTACTTAAAAAATTCAAAAAAAAATACAGTAACAAAAGATGATGTTCACCAACGTAAGATGATGTTCATAAGCAGCCTGACAATCTTTTATAAACATTTTGCCAAGTGGCAACAAGACAAAAAAATTTTGGTAGACCCATGATGAGCCGAAAAAAACTGTTATCATAAAGCGCGCTTTGCCACCCATCCGTACTAAAACACTTAAATTCATAGTTACCTATGTTGCTCTCAACACTACACATCATAAGTTGACTCAACCGATATTACAACAGACACACCAATAAATAAAAAAACATGAGCAAACTTACAAATTACAGAATTTCCATCAATATATAAATTTTTAAAATCAAACAAAACCGGTCCGGTGCTTTACAAAATCCAAACCAGACTACATATTTAACAATGTAAAAAACAACTTGAGACGAAAATTAACTAAGGAAATTAAGTCGAAAACCACGGATCCGAAAAAAAAATCATGTTTTTTTAAAAAAAAAATTTGAAATTAAATTACTGCCTGAAACGAGCTAGGCTCTTTTCCGCTCTTATCACTTTTTCCAAAAATATGGATTTTCTTTGTTTGTTATAGTAATAAGAACGGCTTAATGCGTGAAGTTACGGTGTAATGTATGAAAGCAAATCTGTTCACAATTGTCAGTTGGCCTACCATGCCAAAATTCGTTGCATTATGACAACGTTTTAGAAGCTTTTCAGGCTCTTTTCCCTTTCCCTTAGTTTGAATTTTTCTGTTTTTCTATTTTTTTTACGAGTGATTATAGCTGAACGCTTGATGTTATGCTGTAAACTATGAAGAAAAAGTATGTTTACAATTATTAATTTGTTCACCATGCCAAGTTTCATTGCATTATGACAACGCAAAAAAAAAGATTTTTTAAATCTGAAACTGAAAAGAGGGGATGATTGAAAAAGAGCCGTTACTCGAAACTGAGTTTGAAAAGTTAGCGAGAACCCAAGTGAAATTTATCATTCCTATTAAACTGTCCATTCTGTGAAAAAAAATTAATGAGAAAAAAGTTCTAGTATCCGGTTAAAAATCGATGGCTACATTTCAAAACTGGTGTTTCTGTACAACAAGTAAAAGGAAATTGTTGAGAGCTTCAGGCTCTTTTTCCTTCCCCCCCCCACCTCACTTAAACATGAATTTTATGGTCTAACGAGTGGTTTTACAAGGTAAATTATAAAGACCAAATATGTTTTTCATGGCC